AGACAACTGAAAAAAAACAACTGAAGATGAAAAATATAGTTTAGTTTAGAAAATATATAGATCAATAAACAGGAAACAGAGGGTCTGGGTTAGGGGGTCAGGGTTAGAGGATCTGGGTTAGAATGGTCTGGGTTAGGGGGTCTGGGTTAGGGGGTCAGGGTTGAGGGTCTGGGGGTCAGGGTTAGAGGGTCTGGGTTAGGAGGCCAGGGTTAGAGGGTCTGGGGGTCAGGGTTAGAGGGTCTGGGTTAGGGGGTCTGGGTTAGGGGGTCAGGGTTAGAGGGTCAGGGTTAGAGGGTCTGGTAAAGCATTATGTAATCAAGGGTCCTCACAAAGACAGATAAACAGGAATATATGTGTGGTAGATTCCTGTTTGTAGTTTCTGCTGTTTGTTTACTGTCATCACTGTGCTTTTATTCTGACATGTTCAGTAAACACAACAGGAAGTTCACCTGCGTCACCTTCTGTGGGAACCACACACACATACACACTCTCACCCACTCTCTCACTCACACACACGCACACACACACTTCATGTATTTTGTGGTTCACAGTATCTGATGTGTATTATTATTATTTATATCAGTATTATTATTTCCCCGGGCGCCTGTCATTGGCAGCCCACTGCTCCCTATATACAGGGATGGGTCAAATGCAGAGACAAATTTCCCCTTCCGGGATCAATATAGTATAATAAATTTAAAAAAAATGAACCGTTACTTCTTGAGAGTGAAAGAAAACTAATTAAAGAAATTAATCAATAATAGAAGTAAAATAAATGAAGTCCTCACAAGGACGGTAACCTGCAGTGTGTTTCTGTCTGAATCAGGTGAAGACTCGTCGTAGTTATTCGCCCCCTAGTGGACACAAAGGATGCAGCTGTAGACGTCACAATAGAAGATTTATTTCACTTTTACACACAAACAGATGTGCAGGGTTCATCCTCTGAAGAGCATGACTGAGATCAAAGAGGTTAACAACAGAACAGAGGGTCGAAGGGATCACCGGGATCCTGGGAACCAGTCTGGAGGTCTAGTTTGCTGCTGTGGACTGACTGATTAATCATCTTCCCCCTCCTTCTTCTCCTCTTCTTCTTCCTCCTCCTCCTCCTCCTCCTCCTCCTCCTCTTCTTCTTCCCCCTCTTCCCCCTCCTCCTCAGGAGAAATCAGTCTGTCCAGCGACACACTGTGAACCAATCACTGCTGTGCAGCCTCCTCGTCCTCCTTCCTGTCCTCTTCCTGGTTCCTCCTCTTCTTCACCTCCTGCAGTCCCTCCTGGATCTGGTCCACAGCCTCCTGGTCTCCGGCCTGCCGAGCCAGACCCAGAGCCTCCTGGTAGAACCGCACTGAGTCCTCCAGCCGACCTGACGGACCACAGACAGAACCTTCAGACCAGATCAGAGCCTTACGTACCTGGTGGGCCTCCATTGTTTGTCCAGCCCACTTTAGATAAAGCCACGCCCCCTTTTAGATTAAACCACGCCCACATACATGCGAGTGGTTCCATCTGAAGCAGGTCGGACTCAGAGACCTTTGACGTCTCCCTGACCTTTGTGCAGCAGGATGCCGGCCATGTTTCCCAGCAGCACGTGTTGGTCCGGGTGTCCAGCGGAGCGGCTCAGATCCACAGCCCGCTGGACCAGAGCCAGGGCGTCATCATGGCGACCCTGCAAATCCAGGACGGTGGCCAGGTCGCTCATCAGCACCAGAGTCTGACAGGTGAGACAAGAGGATGATGTTCAGGTCTCGATGCTTCACAAGAATGTATCTACCTGTGGTCCTACCTGTGGGTGTGTGTCTCCCTGTGGTCCTACCTGTGGGTGTGTGTCTCCCTGCTCCTGGTGGCAGATGTCCAGTGCGCTTTGGTAGTCCTGTGCCGCCTGTTTCAGGTGCAACGTTGATGCTCTGTATCGAGCCCGCGAGTCGAAACACAGACCGAGCAGAAGACGTGTCTCCTTGCTCAGAGCCTCCTGCTCCTCTGAAGTCAACAACAACAGAGTCACATAACAGCTTGTCTGTCTCTCTACATGTACCTGTCTCCCTGTCTCTCTACCCTGTATGTCTCTCCACCTGTCCCTCTGTCTCTTTACATCATGATTAATCATTGATTAATCATTTTTAAATCAATGATTTTATTGTTAGGCACAAACTAGATATTTAGTTTTTAACTGAAACATGGTTAAATCAAGATAACAGCTGTTCTTATTGAATCAACACCTCACAACTTCAGTTTCATGAGTGAAACAAGAGCGCATAAGAAAGGAGGTGGAGTTGCTATTTTATTTAATGATTCTCTTCATAAAGCAGATGTCCTTTGGTCATTTTAGTTCTTTTGAATATGTGGCTCTGAATTCCACTCAAGCTTTATTCCTAAACATTTACAGACCGCCTAAATACTGTGTAACCTTCTTTGATGAGTTTACTGAACTGCTGTCTATAATCTGTATTGATTTTAACTGTTGTTATTGTTGGTGATTTTAATATCCATGTTGATAATCCCCAGGACAGAGGGTCTATAGAACTATGTGGTGTCCTTGATAATTATGATCTGACTCAGCATGTGACAGGACCCACCCACAACAGGGGGCACACTCTGGACCTAATCATCACCAAAGGTCTAAACATTTCCAAGGTCGCTGTGACTGATGTTGCACTCTCTGATCATTTCTGTGTTTTCTTTGAGAGTGCAATCTCCTTGCACACAAATGTCCAAACCGAGGTTGTGACGAAGCGTTACATCTCTGAAAACACCAGTGAACTATTTATTCAGAAGTTCTGCTCCTCACCAGCCCTCTCTGCATCTCAGTCAATGAGCTTGTAGATGGCTTCAATTCTAAAGTTATGAATGTTATTGATGCCATTGCACCCACTAAAGTGAAAGTTGTCTCGGGTGAGCAAAGATCTCCTTGGAGAAATGCTACGCTGGTCAGAATAGAGAAACGAGAGTGTCGGAAACCTGAGTGCAGGTGGCGAAAAACAAATCTCCAGGTTCACTGTGACATCTATAAAGAGAGACTTCGCAATTATAATTTGGAACTTAGAAATGCAAGGCAGTCCTTCTTCTCTGACATCATAACCAAAAACAATAACAATACACGCGCCTTATTTGCTACCGTCGACAGGCTAACAAACCCTCCAGTGTCGGTAGCTGCTGAGCTCCAATCCACCTGGCATGCAATCAATTTGCCTCCTTTTTTACTGACATAATTCAGAAAATTAGACAAGCAGTCAGTGCCTCCACACTAACCACAGGATATGTGTTGTCCCCTTCTCTAAATAACATCCATTCAAATGTCATGACACAATTTCATTCAATGGACCGTAGAAGCCTAGAAGACATTATACAACATCTGAAGTCATCCTCCTGCTGCTTGGATATTCTACCAACACACTTTTTCAAGAATATTTCAAACTGCATGACCACTGATCTTTTACACATTGTAAACACATCCCTTCTCTCAGGTGTCTTCCCAGAAGCCCTAAAAACCTGCAGTTATTAAACCGCTCCTAAAGAAGGCTAGTTTAGACTCCGCAACAATGAAAAATTATAGGCCAATATCAAACTTCCCATTTTTAAGTAAAATAATTGAAAAAGCGGTTTTCCAACAGCTGAACAAATTCTTGGCCGTAAATAACTGCTTTGATGTTTTCCTGTCAGGTTTTCGACAGCACCACAGCACTGAAACTGCTCTTGTTAAGGTTTTCAACGACATCCACTTAAACACAGACAATGGCAGAAGTTCAGTCTTAGTATTACTGGATCTCAGTGCTGCATTCGACACGGTCGACCATGACATACTCCTAGAAAGACTAAAAATCTGGGTGGGACTTTCTGGCACAGCACTTAACTGGTTTGAATCCTACTTGAAGGACCGAGAATACTTTGTGTCTGTAGCTAATTACACATCAGAGCTGACTAAAATGACATGTGGTGTTCCCCAAGGTTCAATACTGGGGCCTCTTCTGTTCAACATCTACATGCTTCCACTAGCTCAGATTATGGAAAACAACAAAGTGTGTTATCATAATTATGCAGACAACACACAAATCTACATAACTATGTCACCAGGGGACTATAATCCCATACAAGGGCTGGGTAACTGCACTGAACAAATCAACAACTGGATGTGCCAGAATGTTCTTCAATTAAACAAAGATAAAAGAGAAGTAATTGTTTTTGGTACCAAGGACGAACGATTGAAAGTCACCGCTCAGCTTCAATCACTGATGTTAAAACCCACAAACAAGCCAGAAATCTAGGTGTAGTTATGGATTCAGACCTCAACCTGAACAGCCTCATCAAGACAATTACAAAATCAGCCTACTATCAGCTGAAGAATATATCAAGGATTAGAGGACTTATGTCTCAACAGGATTTGGAAAAACTTGTCCATGCATTTATCTTCAGCAGACTGGACTACTGTAACGGTGTGTTCACAGGTCTCTGTAAAAAGTCTGTCAGAAAGCTGCAGCTGATTCAGAACGCTGCAGCTCGAGTCCTCACTAAGACCAGGAGGGTGGATCACATCACTCCAGTTCTGAGGTCTTTGCACTGGCTTCCTGTCAAACAAAGAATTGACTTTAAAATCCTGCTGTTGGTTTATAAAGCACTGAATGGTTTAGGGCCTAAATACATCTCTGATCTGCTGCTACCTCATGAACCATCCCGACCCCTTAGGTCGTCTGGGACCGGTCTACTTTCTGTTCCCAGAGTCAGAACTAAACATGAAGAAGCAGCGTTCAGTTGTTCTGCTCCACATATCTGGAACAAAGTCCAGAAAGCTGCAGGTCTGCTGAGACCCTCAGCTCCTTTAAATCAGGACTGAAGACTTTTCTGTTTGCTGCTGCCTTTAATTGAACCACATTCAATTAATATATTAATCAATTTCCTGCATTTCTGCATTTTACTACTGTATTTTATTTCTTACACTGTTTTTATTGTTTCAATGAATGTTCTTAATTGTTTTAAATCTCCTTTTCTTTTGCCTTATGTTTTGATGCTTTTACTGGTTTTATGTGAAGCACTTTGAATTACCTTGTTGAAATGTGCTGTACAAATAAACTTGCCTTGCCATACATCTGTCAATCTGGCTGTCTTTCAGTCTGTCTACATTGATGTTTTTGAAGTTTGACTGAACTTTATTGGCACATTCTTGCAGCTCTGCTCTGACTTGTTTTAGGGTTCTTTAACGAGAAGCAGTCCTTTCATGACTTGTTTTAGGGTTCTTCAACAATAAGAAGTCCTACATGACTTGTTTCAGGGTTCTTTAACAATAAGCAGTCCTTCATGACTTGTTTCAGGGTTCTTTAACAATAAGCAGTCCTACATGACTTGTTTTAGGGTTCTTTAACAATAAGCGGTCCTACATGACTTGTTTCAGAGTTCTTTAACAATAARCAGTCCTTCATGACTTGTTTTAGGGTTCTTTAACAATAAGCAGTCCTACATGACTTGTTTCAGGGTTCTTAACAATAAGCAGTCCTACATGACTTGTTTTAGGGTTCTTTAACGAGAAGCAGTCCTACATGACTTGTTTTAGGGTTCTTTAACAATAAGCAGTCCTTCATGACTTCTTCTCACCTGTCCGATCCTCTGCAGGGGTTTCTTTATGTTTCTGCAGTTTGGCCTCCAGAGACTCCGTACAGAACCTGAACCCGTGCTCTGCAAGCTCCGCCCTTAAACACACACACACACACACACACACACACACACACACACACACACACGGGGTACTTCTCAAGTACCCTTAACTGCATCCCCGTTTCCCTCACTTGCATCCTTTCCTTGCGTCTTAGTCCCTCCCACCAGGGATGCATGGAGAAAAGCATGCGAGGAGAGAGGAAACGAGGAAATATGTTTTAGGAGACATGAGACGTCCTTTCCTCAGTTGTGTCACATGAAGCGAAGTCTGTTTCTGATGACGGAGGATCAGCTGATCACAGCTGATCAGCTGTCAGTCGGCTTTAACAGCTGGAGAGACTTTTGATAAGTTTGTGTCTGTTCACATGATCACTGTACTTAATAGTAACTAATAACACTAATAACTAATAAAGACACAGTAATCACCACTGTAGAGGTGTTTCTCTCTGTAGTCTGTTAACAAACTGTGTCCTGTGTTCTGTTTATAAGCACAGGATCCATTTCTACCGGCGGAATGCGATCGTCTTATTTATGAATTATTTGGGTCTGTACGTTTTGAAATTCAGATTATGACGTCATTATTAAATAACCCAGAATATGATTATTGTTAAACTTAAATGATAAAACTCATCAAACCCGACAATCAGGAATGAACAGCCTCACGTGACTGAATGAAATGATGATAAAAATATATATACATATACGGTATATTTATATATATATACGCGTTAACGTTATTATCGCGTTAACACATTCATTAATTAACGCCGACAATTATTTTATCGCGCGTTAACGCATTTTTTTTTATTTATTATAATTTTATTTTTTTTAATTGAAAGACAAGAGACAATACATATACATAACAACAAGAGGATGACAAGAACAGTGGGATAAAAGCCAGCAGACATCCTAAAGTCAGTTGTGTATGTATGCGTGTGTGTGTGTGTGTGTGTGTCTGTGTGTGTCCTTGAGCCTTTTGAGATGGGAAAAAAAAATAATAATAATAATAATTAAAAAACAACAATAACAAAAAACAGGTAAGTATTTTTAATTTATTATTATTGTAACAGACTGTCTCATGTTTATCGTTTTGTATTGGAGATATGATGTCCCTTCAGGGTTGCCGTAGAGAAAAGGCGACTTCCGCTTCTGGTCGAGGGGGGGGGGGCAGAAATAAAGAGAGAAGCTGCACCAGCTGTTGCTCTCCCTGGAGACTACTGGACATCGCTGCGGTAAAGTCAGCAGACACTCAGATCTCCGTGGTCAACTCAGCAGACACTTACATGTTAGTGCACCTATATGCTGACATTCACGGTAAACGCATTTAAACGGCACAGATCGGGAGCGAGCGAAGGACTTTGAAAGTTAGCGGAAAGATTAACGTGATATATATATATATGTATATATATATATTATTTATTATAATTATTTATTATTTATTTATTTATTATTTATTTATATATATATATAAATAAATAAATAAATAAATAAGTGTTTCGTCTCTCCAGCTCTCTCTGACTTTAATTGTTTCCATAATAAAGTTATTGAGGGAAACATCAGATCATGAAAACACAAATCTTTCTAATAAATGAAGAAAGTTGTTTGTGGTCCTTTTGTTGTTCAGACTACAATGAACATTTATTTAAACCAGACGTTGAATCAGAAAACGAATCAAATATAAATCTTGAGTTTAATCTGTGATCCGTCTTCACTGTTTACATGTTGAACAAAATCTCATCAGTCCGATCGGCTGCAGCGTCCAATCACATGACTGATGACCAATGAGGGGGCGTGTCGGCCGTTAAAAGACTTCCTGGAAGTCTGTTCTCGTGGTTCCTCGCTCATGGCTCCTCAGAGGTCCCTCCTCCCTCCTTGATCCTCGATCCTCAGAGCTACATGAGAGCTTTGGGACGGCCGTCAATATGGCGGCGCAAAAACAACTTCCGGTTCAAGCGAGGAGCGAGGAGCGAGGAAATGAGAATTAAGAGACTTGGGATGTACCCACAGTCACCTCTCTGACAGGAAGTGAGGTCAGAGGTCAGGCACTTGAACGGTTCAATCTTACTTGTTCTGTTCGGCGTAGATGGTGGCGAGTTTCAGAGACATCTCGATGATAGCGTTATCGTCCTGGAAAGAGACAGGAAGTGAGTGAAGACATAAACACACACACTCTCTCTCTTACACACACACACACACACACCTCTGGAGTTCCTCCTGACAGCATGAAGCTCATCGCTGCTTTGAAGAGTTTTTCTGCCTGAGAGGATGAAGAGGACAACCAGCTGTCTCGCTGCCGTTGCCACAGTGACAAAGGTGAGTCATACAGGGGCGGTACTCACGTGGTCCAGCTGACCCTGAACGTAGGCCAGGTTCGCCATCTGAGGGTGAGGGTGAGGGTTAGAGAGCTGTAGAGCTGAGGACACCTGAGAGCTGAGAGAGGCTGTTTACCAGACTGTAGGCGTAGATGACGGCCTGATGGTTGTGGGTCTGATGAGCCACGACTACGGCCTGGTGGAGCAGCCCAGAGGCTGCCTGGAGCTGTCCTCTGGAGACACTGAGCTGGAGGAGAGAGGACCGTCAGTACTACAGTACTAGTACTA